CTTCGATTACTTACTGAGGTTTAAAATGTTAAGTTTTGGCCATTGAACATTGAAAAATGTCGTACGTTACTCATTAATATAAATGTTGAATTTTGAAAAACATCGAGTTTACAGTGAGTAATGTAAAATATTTTTCAAAGTTCACTAGCTAAAACTCGATATTTTAAACTTCAATGAGTAATCAAAGACATGGACATAAGTTCAGTGATCAAAACTTGACATTTTAAACTTTAGTGACCAGTCATAGACATAGGCCTAAGTTCAGTGACCATTGGAACAATTAGCTCTTGAATTAAACACAATGATATTGCTTTAGCCATGACCTTGAACTTCCAAGACCAGAGGGAATAATATTAAGTACAGGAGTGCAAGAAAGTTACTTGGAGGCCTCGAGTTTGTTTGGAACTTTCTTATCTTTCTTTCTCTTCCTGGTTTGCCTTTTATTTGCCCTGGTGAATGTTTTTCTCTTCCTAGTTTCCATGAAAATGAAAAGAACTATAACATCTCAAAGGAAGTGAAGCAAAGAGTGAGAAAGTTGAGTTTGTACAGTAGTGTTTCTTCTCAGATATTAGAAAGAACAATACAGATGTTGTCAAAGTTCATTAGATGTCATCCAACTGCAAAATTCTCGGTGTATAACTTCTTGAAACATGATTACGTCACATGGTTGCACTCATTTCATTTTCTATTGACAACAAATTAAAAAGTCACTCTTCCATATATTGAATGTGTGCAAATATTACATTGACATGTACGCATATCCCTAATGATCTAAATTGCTAGCATTATGATTTTGGTTGCATGCAATAGGAACATCATATTCCAATAATTTTTGTGAATTTTGCTGTGGAAGAACATACATTACAAGGATACAAAAGGCTGAATCCATCCTGTGACCAAGGAGAAATATTTAATGAAACTAGGCTTATCAAATTTTTGGAACTTGATTAGGCTTTTTATTTTGGATTTTCCATTATAGTTTAGACTACACGTGTTTTCATAGTTTGAATTGGAATTGACTTGTAAATATTTTGCCTTGAAAATATGTTGCTAGAGGCTTTTGGTTGTGACTATTGTTGTTCGATTTCGGATTTTTTTTATTGGTACATTGTGTTTGATTGGCTTGTTGATCTGCTTTATAATTTTTATTATCGCAGTAAAATACAATCCAAATTTACTACCTTGAATTTTGTTGGTTGGAAAATTCATTATTTTCTTGACAAATGTCACTTGATTTCTTGGTCAGCATATGTATGTTATTGTCGACTAATTGTTATGGTCAGCCTGTGTTTACTACCATTACTCATGACTTGTTTATTGCCGACTTATTTAGAAATTTACTTGCAAAAGTATGGTTTGCAAAAAGTTTTGTCATTACAAACCAACAATTTTTTGGCCAATCAAAATCTCCATTTTTCCCAATAAAGTATAGATTGGTCTGTAAAACCCTTCTTTGGGTGGCTTTTGGTGACCAGCAGCCAATCAACATTTTTTAGTTATAAATTGGATTTACCGACTGATTTTGGATTTTTACCGACCAATGTCTTGATCAGCAAAAGTTGCATTTCTTGTTGTGCTCGGATCTCTTGCCTGAAAGAAGGTAATCCTTTTGCACTCGTTATATGAGGAGATTTTCGTTTCAATCTTGTGATAGGCTTATTGAGCTTCTTTTGGCTTTCCATGTTTTAAAAATGCTTAGATGGATGACAACTATGAAGGTAATATGGGCTTCTTTTGGTTCATTGTGCAAATTATTCACTTAATGATTCTCCATAAACTGTAGCATATCTTTCTTTGTAACACATACCTATGTACCTACATAACTCTATAGCAGTGAGGTATATACATTTCTGTTTAATTTGGTTTCCTAATGCGGCAAATTTACACTTTTTCAACACAACAGAGACTTTGATGATTTCTTAATGGGGACAATGTAATTGGATTCCTAATAAGAGGGTTTTATTTTAAAAAATTTCAACTTGGATCTCCTCAATGTACTTCTGTTCCTAGTAGCGACGTTTGTTTTCCCATTTTTGACATTCGCAATGCCTTTAAAATGTGACGTTAGATAGTACCAATAACTATTCACCACAATCGGCGAGGTAAATGTAACCCATGAACACTCTACGTAGAGCACCCAATGCTAGATTGTCGACCACTGAGAAGCCTCTACATCCATGCTAGGTTGTTGACCACTGAGAGGTTCTCTACATCTATGATAGGTAGTCGATCCATATGAGACCATCAAATACGACAAGTCCAACATAACCCTCATCCATGAAAACATTGTTGAATTAGATAAGGTTTATTTAATGGTTATCACGGACACAACCAGTAGCTAGATAAACGATGGTCTTTCACTCAGAACGTGGGGGTAGTGGAAGGTGCTATGCGGGACACGTGGCAATAAATCGCACAACAGATACAGGGCTTAAATCAATTATTAATATCCCCAAGGTGAGACACGTATGGATCTAAAATTTTTTTGGCTATCTGAATACACACTTTGCCTTTCCCGGCACTCTTAAATTAAATACTAATTCTCATGTTGGAGTTAAAATGGGGAAAAAAGCCATTTTGTAGGTAACATTAGATCACCGGAGTAGTAGAAGCACCTTACGCTACCAGGAGGATACGAAGGTTTGCTCTATTATTATTTCATTGACACTATCTGTGAGAAACCGCAGGACAGAAAAGCTATGCCGAGAAAACTAACAAGAAGTGATACATGCTTGGAGAGTATTTTAGAAGTGTCTGATGAGTGATTTACAATTATTATATTATGCCATTAAATTCTTGATTTGGCTATCTTGGAGAGTATTTTAGACGTGCTAATATGTGATTTTGATGTTGTTTTGTAGATCGATGGAAGTGATAAAAAAGAGTACAAAAGAAGAAGGAATTGAAGATAAATAATGCATTGGAATTCAAATTTGGGCTTCAACTCCTAAATTGGACAAAGTTTAATTGCCCATGGGAATTGCAAAGGAATCTGCCGGAAGTGGAAATAACACATTGGGCCTAAGTTGGACTTGTTTGGAATCAAAATGTAATCATGCTTTGGACCCCTAATTGGACTACAACAAGGGTTTAATTGTTGAGGTATATATATACAAACACATGTAGAAAAAAGGGAGAGCGGAGGGAATTGCAAAACTGTCGGTTGCCTGGGGAATGGAACAGATTGGAGCGTCGGCCAATATTATAATTTTCACATAAGTTGGCCGGCTGCTGGAGGAATTAAATAGAGGACTCAAAACAATAATTATGCAACCTAGATTATTAGATTATGCACAAAAAGTGAAGAGAAGGAGAATCAATAGAGTCTATCGGCGCTGAAATTTATTACATATCACACGGAAACTGAAGCGGAAGAAGAGACAGAATTGAGCAACACATACAAACACATAAGCGGCTTCTTTTCAAGGTGCTTTGGCTGAAATTGAATTGTGGAATTAACAATAAAAGTGGCAGATTACACGGAGATGGATGCGCGACAGAGAGAAACAATTCCAGAATTTTTTTGGTGCAAATAATTCATCAAGATTGTGCCAAGAATTTGGAATTAATTACGTTTTGTCAATTATCGGTGATGTGGTTCCACTTTTATTTATTTAATTCTCGCATCATGTTTGGCTAATCCCATTTCACGTATTGGATGATGACAAAATTGTTTAATTTTTAGTTTTAATTCGAGACCTATGTTTTTATGTTAATTATTGCGTTGTGATTTCATTAATATGCATAATTAGATTGTTTTAATGTATGCGCACTATTAGGATAACAAGTTGCTTTTTCGTAGTGTTGGAAAACTCATGATAGGTAGAACACTATTATTGGGATATGCGGGCAATAAATATTAGGAATAATATTTGTGGCGTGCGCGATCTTATGTGATAATCCTAAATGTCAATGCATGGTTGTCATATAAAGTCGGACTAGGAATAGGATTGTCTCGTGGTAATCATAGGTTTATTATATCTTGGAAAAGAATAATAAATAATAGTGGAATTATCGATCGTCGCAACTGCATAAATTGAAATAATTATTATTGGTCGAGAATTAAAACTAAGAATTAATGGCGTCAGAAATTCAATACGTTCATACATTTGAATTTTTAAACCAATTTTAATTATTTTCACAAGTCTTAGATATAAAAAATTCTTTAGCTATTCCTTCGATCATCTTTTAGTTACAAACACGAATTCAAATATATCAAATATACTAAAATTGATCCTTATTCCTCGTGGGACGATAACTCTCTCATCATGATTATTACTTGTTAACGAACCTATACGCTTGCTGGAATTTGACGAACAAGTTTTTGGTGCCGTTGTCGGGGAATAACGGTGTTAATTTTAGTTATTAGATATTTTCGATTCGTTTTTATTTTTACTTTTATTGTTTTTATTTTCATTTAATTTTTTAGTTGTTTTTAGGCTACCATGACACTTTTTAGGCAACTTTAGTTTATGCAAAATCCTGACGAGCCAGATCTCTTTCCAATAGACCACAAAATTGAAAGACCATTTAGAAATCGCAGAAGAGTTCAACGTCAAGCAAAGAGAATGGCTGATAACCAAAATCAACCACAAAATCCAATTCTCGAGCCAGCACTGCAGCCAAATCAACTGAGAGCTAACTTGAACGAAGCTCCTGTTTTAGTTGGATATTAAATCAATCCAATTCTCGCACCAGTACAACCTGCTATGGTATATCCTCCCTTCGGACAACCTAACTTTCACCTCAGACCAGATGTCATCAATTTGTTTCAAAATCACCACGACATCAGGTTCTATGGAAAAGCCACGAAAATTTCTCATCAGCATATTTATGCTTTTGGCATGTTATGTGAAGTGATCAGTCACGAAGGGATATCAGCAGATGCATTCCGAATGAGATTATTCCCTCACACCTTGAAGGACACTGCTAGAGAATGGTTTCTTTATTTACCACCAGGGAGTATTCAATCATGAAAAAATATGGTTCAAAAATTCACGATGAGATTCTTTCCACCTTCTCGAACTCACCAAATTATGAATGACGTTCACACCTTCAAGCAAAAAGATTTAGAGAGCTATCCTGAGGCATGGAAGAGGTTCAAGAATTTTTTCAAAAACTGCCCCAACCTTGACATTCCCAAGCAGGCTCAGCAATATCTTTTCTACTACGGTCTAAAACAAGAGTTTAGAAATATGATAGATGCTTCAGCAGGAGGATCGGTTATGACACTTGATGTTGATGAGGCATATGACCTGTATGAAAAAATAGCTGAAAACCAATCGATGTGGCCAACTGATAGGGAAGCTCCAAGGAAAACATCAGGGTTACACAACGTAGATGCAATGACAGCACTGGCCGTGCAAATGGAAGTTCTTACAATGAAAATGGACAATCTATCTAAGTCAGTCAACATGGTACACCAATCGCCACCTGTTTGTGAAGGCTGTGGAGCGGATCATGCTAGTACACGCTGCCCTTTGGCGTCTACACATGTTAATCAATTCAAAGAAGTTAGCTACGCACTGAACTTTCAGAGACAGCAAAATAATCCTTTCTCCAACACATTTAATCCGGGTTGGAAGAACCATCCAAATTTCTCTTGGTCTAATAATCAAGGACAAGAACAGGGAAGAAGCAATCAGAATAAACCACCAGGTTTTCAACAGCAACAACAGCAAGGGAGAAGGCCATCGTTGGAAGATTTGCTGGCTCAATACATTACTAAAACTGAGATCAACTTTCAAAACCAACAAGCTTCGATCAAGAATTTAGAACAACAGGTTGGACAGATTGTAGCCGCACTATCAAGTAGAGCTCAAGGGACATTGCCCAGCAATATTGAAACAAATCTTAAGGAACAGGTCAAAGCAATCACTACACATAGTGGCATCTAGTTACCAGAAATACATGTAAAGCGGCCAGCAACTATCATAGAAAAGGCACCTACCATGGACGAGGACCAAGTGGATGAATTAGACAAGGCCGCTAAGGAAAATCAAGTTGAATCATCAGGTAGTCCACAGGTGAAGGCAACTGCTCCAGTCAAAGCATATGTTCCTCCAATTCCATTTCCACAGAGATTGCAAAAACATAAGAAATTTTTGGATGTGTTCAAGAAGCTGCATATTAACATACCATTTGCTGAAGCTTTAGCCCAAATGCCCAGCTATGCCAAGTTCATGAAGGATATTCTATCAAATAAGAGGAAGCTAGAAGACAATGAAATAGTAATGCTTACTGAGGAGTATAGCACAATTCTCCAACACAAATTACCACCGAAACTAAAAGACCCAGGGAGTTTTACTATTCCTTATCACATTGGTAATCTGTATATAGATAAGGCATTGTGTGATCTAGGAGCTAGCATTAATTTAATGCCTTTATCTCTTTTCCGAAAACTAGGTTTGGGGGAAGCAAAACCGACAACAGCTTCACTACAGTTGGCTGACAGGTCGATCAAACACCGTCGTGTTATTTGTGAAGATATTTTGGTGAAGGTTGATAAGTTTATATTCCCAGCAGACTTCATTATTCTGGATACAGAAGAAGATAGAGACGTCCCCCTCATATTGGGTCGTCCATTTTTGGCCACGGGAAGAGCTCTGATAGATGTGCAAAAGGGTCCGTTGATATTAAGGTTAAATAAAGAAGAACTGACAATCAACGTGTTTTGAGCTTTCAGATTTCAGAGCGAACCAAATTCTTGCATGCAGATTGATATAATAAAAGAAGCGATGTCAAAGGAATTCAAACTAGATCACCCTCAGGATCCGCTTGAGGCTTGTTTAGTGCATTCGCAAGATTTACCATCAGAAAATGAGGAAATAAAAGAATGTGCACGGTATTTGGCAGCCATGCCACCATTCTTCAAGCAACCACGTCTGGAACTCGGTGAAAGACTCACAACACGTTTATCATCTATACAACAAGCTCCAACTCTTGAACTCAAACAACTACCAACTCATCTTCGTTATGCATACTTGGGGGAAAAGAATTCACTTCCAGTAATCATCTCAAACAATCTTACAGAAGTGGAATCAATTGCTGAGGGCGCTTCGAGAGCGTAAGACAGCAATAGGATGGACAATATCGGATATAAAAGGGATCAGCCCTTCGCTTTGCGTGCATAAATACTGATGGAAGATGATTACAAAGTTTCAATTGAGCATCAACGCAGATTAAATCCGACTATGCAGGAAGTGGTAAGGAAAGAGATATTAAAGCTTCTGGATACAGGGATCATCTATCCCATATCAGACAGTCATTGGGTAAGTCCAGTACAAGTCGTACCAAAAAAGGGAGGGAGCACAGTGGTTCCCAATGAAAACAATGAGCTCATCCCGACACGAATAGTCACGGGTTGGAGAGTTTACATTGATTATCGCAAACTCAACAACGCCACAAGGAAGGATCACTTTCCCCTTCCTTTCATTGATCAGATGCTAGAGAGACTTGCTGGACATGCGTACTATTGCTTCCTGGATGGTTATTCGGGGTACAATCAAATTCCTATAGCACCAGATGACCAAGAGAAGATGACCTTTACATGCCCTTATGGCACTTTTGCTTATAGGAGGATGCTATTCGGCCTTTGCAACACTCCAGCCACCTTTCAACACTGTATGATGTCTATTTTCTCAGACATGGTGGGACATATTATTGAGGTGTTTATGGATGATTTCTCAGTGTTTGGAAAATCATTCAAGGAATGCCTTGAACATTTGGAAAAAGTGTTACAGCGGTGTGAAGACACAAACCTTGTATTAAATTGGGAAAAATGTCATTTCATGGTTCAGGAAGGGATTGTGTTAGGACATTTAATTTCAGCACGGGGTATTGAGGTTGATATAGCTAAGATACAAGTCATCAAAAAACTACCATCGCCTGTAATAGTAAATGAGTTAGAAGTTTTCTGGATCACGCTGGGTTCTACCGTCGCTTCATCAAAGACTTTTCCAAAATCTCGAAGCCATTGTGCAATTTACTAGAAAAAGGGACCCCATTTCACTTCTCTGAGGAGTGCTTGACAGCTTTCAATGCCTTAAAAGAAAAATTGGTTTCTGCTCCAGTATTGACTTCTCCAGATTGGAATTATCTGTTCGAGCTTATGTGTGATGCCAGTGATCATGCAGTGGGCGTAGTGTTAGGTCAACGAAAGGAGAAAAGTTCTCATGTGATTCACTATGCCAATAAGACTTTGGATGAGGCTCAAATGAATTATGTGGCTATAGAGAAAGAGCTACTGGCAGCAGTGTTCGCCGTTGACAAATTCAGATCATACTTGATTGGGTCAAAAGTGATTGTCTATACAGATCATTCAGCGTTAAAATATCTAATGAGCAAGAGGGATGCAAAGTCGAGACTTATTCGTCGGATACTCCTATTGCAAGAGTTTGATCCGAAAATTAGAGATAAAAAGGGGAGTGAGAATGTTGTGGTAGATCACCTCTCACGCCTTGAATCACACGAGTCAAATCCTACATTGGAGATCAATGAAGTCTTTCCTGATGAAACACTCTTTCAGATTATCACTACACCATGGTACGCTGATTATGTCAATTATTTGGCCCTTCCATCATCCCACCAGACTACTTAAGTCATCAAAAGAAGAAATTCTTCAGTGACATAAAACACTACTTCCAGATCAGATTATACGCTGTTGTGTACCAGAGGTAGATCAGCATCAAGTATTAGAGTCATGTCACTCTGCACCGTATAGAGGCCACTTCGCAGCAACTAAGACATCAACAAAGGTACTGCAATCGGGTTTTTATTGGCCTACCTTATTAAAGGATGCCCATTATATGGTAAAACACGGTGATAAGTGCCAGAGGACTGGAAATATCTCAAGGAGGAACGAGATGCCTTTGAACAGTATTTTGGAGGTTGAAATATTCGACGTTTGGGGCATTGACCTCATGGGACCATTTCCTCCATCTTATTGTCAACAATATATACTGGTGGCAGTGGATTAGGTGTCTAAGTGGGTTGAAGCTATAGCTTTGCCAACTAATGACGGCCCAGTAGTGACTCAATTTCTGAAGAAGAATATTTTCACAAGGTATGGCACCCCGAGGGCAATTATTAGTGATGGTGGAAAGCATTTTTGTAACCGCTTATTTGCTTCTTTGTTGGCCAAATATGGAGTGAAACATCATGTCTCGACTCCATACCACCCTTAGACTAGTGGGCAGGTGGAAATCTCTAACAAGGAGTTAAAGAAGATTCTCGAAGCTACGGTCAATGCATCACGTAAAGATTGGGCTAAGAAACTAGAAGATGCACTTTGGGCATATAGAACAGCATTTAAGACTCCAATTGGCATGTCTCCATATTGACTGCTATTTGGAAAGGCCTGTCATCTGCCGGTTGAGTTAGAGCATACTGGGTGACACACTTGCTCAATTTCTATATGAGAGCAACAGGAGAAAAGAGGGTTCTACAACTTCATGAGTTAGATGAGTTTCATTTGGATTCGTATGAGAATGTAAAGATTTATAAGGAAAAGATCAAGAGATGGCACGACAGGCATATAAGGGAGAAGGAGTTTGAGATTGGTCAACAAGTATTGATGTTCAATTCACGCTTCAAGCTTTTTCCGAGAAAGCTGAAGTCTCGGTGGTCGGTTCCATTTACAGTAGTAGCTGTGTTTTCACATGGTGCTATGGAAGTGGTGTCTCAAGATCAACAAAGGAGGTTCAAAGTAAATGAACAACGGTTGAAAGCTTATTGGGGAGGTGATTACTCCAGTGAAAAAACAACCGTACCACTTGATAATGTAGAGTAGACAGGATAACAAAATCTAGTTAAAGACTATAAATTAAGCGCTTATTGGGAGGCAACCTAATTTCTAAACCTTTAATTTATTTTGTTTTCTGCATCGCATTACATATAGATTTGTTTTAATTATTAGTTGCATTAGATTTAGGCACATTTAAATTTATAGAGTATCATCATCCGATCATGTTTTCATTGAGGCTCTTAAATATAATGTTGGTTATTTTGAGTGTTTGGGCTAAGTAACGCATGTTTTGGATTTTTTGATCTCTACTGTTTGATTTGATTGCCATATGTAGGAACATGACGTCGTAGAACACTCAAACCAACATCGACCAAGGGGAAAGTATGATGAGAAAGATAGTCTAGCCGTCACCTATAGTATCTTCCATGTTTAATAGAAATATTTGGGGAGTACCTTCGTCATTTTCTTCCCCGTCCCCTTATATTCTTAATTATATTTTAAGACATTGAGCACAATGTCGAACTTAGTTTGGGGGTGGGAAGCACTTTGTGTTTTTGGTTTCAGTATGCTTTCGTGCGTTGTTTACTTATGTTTAAAAAAAATTTAAAAATTTTTTTTTAAAAATTATTTTATTTTATTTGTGTGTTTTGTTTTTAATTTCTTAATTGTTTGCATTGTTAAAAAAAATGAATTTTAATTTTTTTTATTATTTTGCATGCTTGTGTGAGTTAGATAACCTTGCAAGTATTGATTTTTGTAATTAAGAACATGTGTTATTTTATGAATTATGGACGAGTTATGTATTCAAATTAGATTTTTGCTTATTCATGTGAAATGGAAAATATTTATGCACTTGAGTTGATTGTGACGTTGGGCATGAGTAGGTTGATTTATGTTTATAGGTTGAATAAGAAAACTTAAATGCTAAACCCAAACAATCTTTAAACATCATTATATCCTTAAACCAAATATAGGCTGTTTGGTAGGCTAAGCTGTTGTAGGGAAACTTGGAGATATGTGTGGATTCCGTGTGTGCTAAATTTTGTGTGGATTGTCTGAAACTAATATGATGAAAATTGGGTGAAAACCTTAAGTTAGAGGTCAATTTTCTAGAATAAATGTTTAATAAGGGGCATTGCACAAAAAAATAAATAAATAAATAAAATTTAAGATACCAATGAGGACAACTTTAATAATCTCATTGTGAATTGTCTCTTCGTAGCCTTTATAACTCGAGTGATTAAGCCTGTAGAGGTTTAAAACCTGGTGCCTTAAAGTCGTCTGATTTGTGAGTCATCGGCCTAAAACTCGCTATATGGGTCATTTAGAAAGCTTAACGGAGGGACGTTCGCACAAAGGATGATTAAGGAATAAAATCTATATCTGAAAAAAAAAACTTGGAAATCACATGCCTTGATTAAGCCCCGAACACTTGTTTTAGAAAATTAGACCTTTAATAAGGGGTTAGTAACTTGATTTATTCTTAGAGGTTGAAGCGGCCAAAAATAAGGAGAATCCTCATTTGTTGTCATGATGAACTGCAATTAGTGACGTCTAACCAAACTTGAGCGGTGTAAGAGTTTAGTATTGGAAATTAACTTTAGAATATACCTTGGGAAGTGAAAAGAGAACAAGTTTGGGGGTGTGTGAATCCCACGAGCGAAGTTAGGAAATATTTGACGTTTAAGGTCGGGAATTGAATCAATTTACTATTGTACAGCGTTGCAATTAACTTCTCAGACACACATCCGTTTTGCATTGAATAGGTGAGAATTCTAACTTGTGCATCATAACCTTGAAGTAATTCATGCAATTGACGCTATGTTTTTAATCTCGAGCCATGAAAGCAAGCTATCTAGCGAAATTTGTTTTAAGTGATTTTGTTTGTCTTTGTTGTGTTTGTATGTCCATTAATTAATTTTGTTGGTTTGGTGTTTGCTCGAGGACAAGCAAAAAGTTAAGTTTGGGGGTATTTGATGAGTGATTTACAATTATTATATTATGCCATTAAATTCATGATTTGGCTATCTTGGAGAGTATTTTAGAAGTGCTAATATGTGATTTTGATGTTGTTTTGTAGATCGATAGAAGTCATAAAAAAGAGTGCAAAAGAAGAAGGAATTGAAGATAAATAATGCATTGGAATTCAAATTTGGGCTTCAACTCCTAAATTGGACAACGTTTAATTGCCCATGGGAATTGCAAAGGAATCTGCCGGAAATGGAAATAACACATTGGGCCTAAATTAGACTTGTTTGGAATCAAAATTTAATCATGCTTTGGACCCCTAATTGGGCTACAACAAGGGTTTAATTGTTGAGGTATATATATACAAACACATGTAGAAAAAAGGAAGAGCGGAGGGAATTGTAAAACTGCCGGCTGCCTGGGGAATGGAACATATTGGAGTGTCGGCCAATATTATAATTTTCACATAGGTTGGCCGGCTGCTGGAGGAATTAAACAGAGGACTCAAAACAATAATTAGGCAACCTAGATTATTAGATTATGCACAAAAAGCCGAGAGAAGGAGAATTAATAGAGTCTGTCGGCATTGAAATTTATTACATATCACACGGAAACTGAAGCGGGAGAAGAGGCAGAATTGAGCAATACATACAAACACATAAGCGGCTTCTTTTCAAGGTGCTTTGGCTGAAATTGAATTTTGGAATTAACAATAAAAGTGGCAGATTACACGGAGACCGATCCACGGCAGAGAGAAAAAATTCCAGAATTTTTTTTTGGTGCAAATAATTCATCAAGATTGTGCCAAGAATTTGGAATTAATTACGGTTTGTCAATTATCGGTGATGTTGTTCCACTTTTATTTATTTAATTCTCGCATCATGTTTGGCTAATCCCTTTTCACGTATTGGATGATGACAAAATTGTTTAATTTTTAGTTTTAATTCGAGACCTATGTTTTTATGTTAATTATTGCGTTGTGATTTCATTAATATGCATAATTAGATTGTTTTAATGTATGCGCACCATTAGGATAATAAGTTGCTTTTTCATAGTGTTGGAAAACTCATGATAGGTAGAACACTATTATTAAGACATGCGGGCAATAAATATTAGGAATAATATTTGTGGTGTGTGCGATCTTATGTGATAATCCTAAATGTCAATGCATGATTGTCATATGAAGTCGGACTAGGAATAGGATCGTCTCGTGGTAATCATATGTTTATTATATTCTGGAAAAGAATAATAAATAATAGTGGAATTATCGATCGTCACAACTGCATAAATTGAAATAATTATTATTGGTCGAGAATTAGAACTAGAAATTAATTAATGGCGTCAGAAATCCAATGCATTCATACATTTGAATTTTTAAACCAATTTTAATTATTTTCACAAGTTTTAGATATAAAAAATTCTTTAGCTATTCCTTCGATCATCTTTTAGTTACAAACACGAATTCAAATATATCAAATATACTAAAATTGATCCTTATTCCTTGTGGGACGACAACTTTCTCATCACGATTATTACTTGTTAACGAACCCGTATGCTTGCGGGAATTTGACAAACAGTGTCCATAAAACTTCCTATGCGAAGTTCTTAATGACTGGCATTGTCTGAAACGAATAATTGTGACAAACTGGTTAATTAAATAGGCTTTAGTACTTAGAAGAATTGACTAGTATGAGATAATTAGATTGATAGGGAACGTAACTTGATGACTGTTATTGCCGAAGAGTATAACTTCCAAGGAGATAGTTACTAGCTGACATTATTTTAACATACCAACTATGGGTCCAAGACTAAATAGAAGACTGTATATAAGAAGTACGTTAAATCCAATGTAATGTCTAGCTCCTATTTCAACTTCCATGTTGTATGTACTGCAATAGAAACATCATAACATGGACACTGCAACTTAGATTATGGCACTTGCCTTTCAAAAATCTAACGAGATAGGATTACAAGGTGCAAGTGGTTTTTTCCATTAATTTCATTTATTCATGTTGAAAAACGGTATGCTTACGAAAGATATGATATCATATGATATGGTCATCCAGTACCAAAGTTATGATATATTATGAGCTATTATTGGTTTCTAAAGATATGACACAACGGTATAATTATTTTGACACTTGAATTGATATTTTATTTGGGATTGCACATTTACTCATGTCCTATTGAATGCTCCCTCACCCTTTTCTCCTACTTCTTACAGACTAGAACAGGTAGTTGGTTGTTGGGCGATGAGGTACCATCGTTGTGCTAGGACTCAATAAAGTAAACTTAAAATAAAGTGGCTGAAATTTTATTCCTAGTAGTAATTTTAATTTCATGATTATATGAATCTGTTTATTTGTTTAGAATTCTAGAACCTATGTTATTTGGTTATGTTTTTGTCATGTCTTATCACTCGTTGGCATATATTTTTACTAGGCAATGACTTGGTTATTGTTTAATCACTTGCAGCATGATATTTTCTCCTAAATAACAACGTTTCAAATTTATAAATTAAATGGTACTTATTATGCATGTGATAAATTATGTCCCTAATTCTTAAATGGTAGATTGATTTTATTTGCTCTTTCCAAACATATACTGTAAAGATATGACTTAGGAAAATATTCGTTATGTCCTTATGAATATATAAAGGTTTTTTTTTTTTTACATGAATTTTTATAAATCATCATTACATAATTTTATCTATATTGTATGCAATGTTTTTTAAAGGTTAAATGAAACTTTTGATAGCGACTTAAATATTAAAAATTTGGGTCATTATAATAAAATTACCAACAATAAATCTTAATTCTTTATTTCATGGACTTTCTTCTAAATTTTGGAACAAAAGTTGTTTCTATTTAAAGTTTTCTACTGTGACTTGATGAGTTCTAACTAGTTACAATTTTGTTGGTCTTCTTTATTCAACTTGTTTCGATTAGTTAATGTTGATTTGGAGTGTTTACAATACTGTGAGTAATTTTGACAAATTTATTTATCGTCTCTGTGCACATCCAATTACGTTGTTTGAATGTAAAGTATTGACGGTGACTTGTCGAAATTTGCTGCCGCGCGCATGTCTTTATTGCTTTGTAATAATTAAATAAATTGAAAACTTTTAAATCATGCCCTGATCAATCCTCTAAATTCCAATCCGAAGAAAGGCATTAGCTAGCATCTTTCCTAGTTGGACTTGGGCCGAAGTGGTAAGGTGCAGTGTATCATTTTCCTTCACCTCAAGTCCCATAGCATCCACACATACCACATTTGGAAGTTCGGTCCGTAGTTGGGCCTCTCTTACAACCTCGAAGTAGGGTCCCACATCTGAAGCCAATGCCACCTGCAACCAGTTATCATTTAATTTTGTGAATAATTTGATATAAGATATTGAATTTACTGACGTATCAAAATGTAGCAGAGCTGCTACAGGAACTTTAAATGTCCACGAAACTGTTAGGCATAAGTACAAGAAAACCAATTGGCAACTAATTTCAGCCCAATTTTAGATTAAAACTCTTTAATGACGAACTGAACACCCCATTTTTAGAAAAATCGATCTGAAAACAAAAATTACCAGAACATTGTTAGAAAGGAAAGTAAAAAATCAGGCCAACAGCAAATGTTTATCAATGGAAGTAAAATGCAGAATCCATTTGTGCAACGAAAATGAGCAATCAGAAGATTTTTAAAAAATCCATTTGCTCAAAAATTAAAACCCCATTTGATTGATTAAGAAAATGACCAAGAAGAAAAATTAAATCAGTTCACCTTAGGGAAAATTTGTAGAGTAACCATACCTGAACAATTGGGAGAGCTGGGGAAGCTAAATCTCTCCGGATGTCAAGGAAAAATTCTATCAACCTCATCTTATACATCTCAGCCCTTGTTTCATCTGTGGAATCACTTTCGCCTTGATACCACAGAATTGCACGAATTTTTCCTCCATCTTGTAGTGCTGCATAAGCCCTCGTCAAGAGCCGATTATAAAGTTCGGAGCCTCGTTTCCACCTGGTTATATTGGTTCCACCAAAAGCACAGGGGACTAAACCGATCACCCCGAGGCAAGGATCTCTTTCCAGCACTAAGTTCGCAAATGACATTCCTGGCCCCACCCCACAAGGATTACTTGTGTCGATGCCTGCATGAAGAGGTTCACGTGCCTCCTCCCACACCAGGTTGGCGTTAAGTCGAAGAATCCTTGGGTCAGGACGGCATTCACGAGGGACACAACCATCCCAAGTCCCTTTTGCCACACCACCTCTGCCAGCCATGTTGCTCTGGCCGGCGAGTATGAAGATACTCTTTTCACTGCATGCAAATGCTAGACATTCAGAACTTTGTAATTGAAAAGCAGCTAAGAACATGAACATGATTAAAGGAAACATCTCGAAGTTGTATCTACAACAAACTGAAAATTTGATCTTGTTTTCTCTCTTTCTCGCATCTGTTCATCTTTATATACATGGAGGAGGGTCGGGTTGGCAGATTGTTTTGACAATGACTAATAAATGTCTCAAACGAACCATGGATAATAAAATTAAAATGATGAGAAAATTAAGAGTAATATATTAATGAACAATAAGTGGAAGTCGCAGGACGTGCCTAAAACCACAGAAGCAAGATACAGGATCATTTTTACACGGTAAAAGCTATGATTTTGAGGTGATTTTGCGTGGCTGTTGAATAATTATTCATGTAACGATCAAAACAGTATATTTTTGACATGTCGTCTCACCTTATATGTGTATAAAGAATTTCGTAATCACATACATGCACGTTATTATATTAAAGTATTTGTTAAATGAAGTAAACCCTCACCATATCATCATTACAGTCCATTTTCACATGGTGGATACATAAATTAATTAAACTACTTTTATATGCATGCGCTTCCAGCAATCAATTGTTAATGCACAAATAAAAATTCTTGTTATTACTCTACGTGTATGAAGATATAATATTCCATAGCATGCTTCGGGTTAGGCCGTCCTTATTGTTTAAAAAAAGAAAAGAAAAGAAATTAAACTTTCAATTTATGTTAGGAGAACTTCGTTTGGTCACGTGATATTTGTACTCAGAATATATTTCGAGCGGCAAAAAATATATGAATATATATGGAGAAAAATAGTACCAATTTTACAGTAATACTAGTTTAAGGAAGGAAAGCAAAAGAGTTGTTTCTTCCATTTTCATAGTATGTTCGCACAAGGTTTGGACAGACAATAGATTTAAAGATTTTCTTTAAAATATTTGTTTAGTACTCTAAACATCATTTTCTATGTTTTCGAATGGATGGATCTCACCAATTTATGGAGTTTAGCTTTTCCATCTTCTCATGTGAAATATGTTAGCATTTTGATCTAATTGTACTTGTTACATAAAAAGAGAGGAAAATTGGCAAGTTGTTCGCTACATAAATTAGGAACAAAAAGCCGTGCCATGGACATATAACTAGATTACACCTAATAATTAACTGATTCAATAATGTATGATATCTCATTGCAACGAGTTGATAAGAGTTTGGCCTATTGGCAAACCAAAGTTGGCTCAATGAGGTGAAACGAGTAGTGACTTTTGCTTTTAGAGTGGGAGAATAAGATGACTTGTCATTAAAACGATTTGTCACTTATTCTAGAAATAAAATGGGAACCTTCGAGTAGGTCCAGTGTCCTAAAAATATAATATATTAGAGTAGCTTATGCAAGGTTAGTTTAGCTTTTGTTTTCCTAAGGTGCCCTAAAAATGGGAACCTAGGAGTAGGTCTAGGAACATAAAAAAGGGAAGAGAAATAGTTGGCCACGAGGTAAAAGATTTTTAATGACAACTATGATATAATTGCAAACTGACGGGTGCACGAATTTAATAGGAAAAAAGGTGCTTTTGATGGCGTTTGATGGGCTTCTTATTAGAATATTTTTATTCGTCATTAATAGAGATCGTCGTTAATCTTGATGACAATCTAATAATAACTATTCTTGAGACCATAATTGAATTTCTAGTTGTCAATGAATTTACATAATGTTACTGATTGTTAATAAGTCATTACAATCTGTAGATGACATTTGTGACATCATTTCATATAAATTAATAGATTTCATCATTCTAGAAATGGAATTAGCTTTGATTTTAAGAGAATTTGACTACAAATAAACTTGGTCACAATCAAGAACTGAACGGTAGCATGTTGAGAACTGTAGTCAAACTCAACCCATTTGTTAGTCATGATGATCCGCTTGGGGTTAACCAAACAAATAGAAAATTAATGTTATTTTTACTTTTATTCATCTTTCCTTTTCAGAAAAATGAAAAATCGTGGTTATAGCCATACGTTATGATGAATCTTGTCATTTTCATAATCTCAAAGCGAGAGTAAGCTTACTGTGGGGTTAATAATGTGAATGATCAATGTACTTTTAATTTTATTAATTGTCTTTTTTTTATGCTTTTATTCCTTTTGGTATTAACATTATATATCGTATTTTTTCTTGTATTTTTTTCAATTTTTATAATTAATTTTTTTAATTTTTAATTTGTATTATCACTTGCACTCGTACTTCTCTTTGTAATGTAAATTAATTTCTTCATCTTTATATATATTAATAATTTTTTCATATGTATATATCTCCTTTATTGTTCTTATTATTAATTTTTCTAATATTTGTTCTTTTATTGCTTTAGGTAAATCTTTAACTATTGTTAATGTCATTATTTTTAATTTATTAGAAATAGGTTTTAAAAATATATAACTTCCACTACAACAAAATTGTGATTTCGCGACAAGTTTTTTTGCGACATACGAAAAGCTGTTGCAATAAGTGATTTAGCGCGACACAGTTTTAAAGTTTGTCGCTAAGATTGTAGTGAAAAAAATAAGTATAAAAATATATAAAGCGACATAAAAAATTGTCGTGAAATATAAGAAGTTGCGACAAATAATAAAGACCGTTGCCAAAAACACGAGGCAAGGAAGGCGCCAAAATATTTTTTGGTGGGAAACTTAGGGCGACAAATTTTTATTTCTTGCAACAAAAAGTTTGTGATGCAATAGAGTCTACTTTTTGTAACAAGGAATATTTGTCGCTAAAAGTTCAATGTATGAAGAAAAAAATCATTACAAGAAAATTATTGTTTGCAACGACCAAAAAATGTTGCCATAGGTCTTCAACAAAATTTACCCGTATGTTGTGGGCTCTGATATTGTCATAGAGTCGAAGGACACAACAACGTGCAATGTATTGTTGTTTTATTATGCTTAAAAAATATATATTAAATTATCGATAGAATTGTCAACAGAGGACTCTGGGCACTAATATTCCATTTCTAATCCGTTGGTGAAAAGTTTAAAAATAAGTAAATAATAAATTAAAATATTTTCACTAGACAATTAATTATTTAAATCATTTAATAGTAATAGTTACAAATTAAAATATTTTACCAATTAATTAAATAAGTATTTATTGTTAATTTAATAAATTATAGAAAATAAAAGTATAATTATAGAAAATTTTAAATAATTATTTTTCACCTTCATTTCATTTTCCACATTCTAAAAATTATTGGTGATGAATTAAATTATTACTAGTTAATTAGAAATATTTATTTTTAATTCAATCAATTAAAAAACTAATCGTAAATAAATTGTAAACAATCAATTTCCATTTAATTTCATTTCTCCCTATTAAATTTTCACTACCCGCCTAATATTTTACTTGGCTTTAAAAACTTAATTTGACACTCAAAATATTAATTTGAATATATATCAAGCAATTTTCACTGGTGCTTTTCATTTTACAGTAGTCATATTTCAAAACCCTAACCTCAAATTCGTAACTTCATCTCTTCTAATGTATGCGTGCTGCCTCTCTCTCTCTCTCGCTCTCTCTGAGCACATTCAGAGAAAATGAAACCTCAAATCTCAATCTCTATCATCGTCGATATCAAGCATAGCCCATTTCCAGCCCCCAATTGCACACCCATAATCACTCTCAAGAAAATGGAAGAATGGTAAGTATGAAATTGTGGAAGAAATTGAAGAGATGGAAAGAAGTCCAGATCTAGTGACATGGATTATGAGGAGGATGAACTGTTGTCAGATAGTGATCCTGAAGGAGAGGATAAACTGTTGTCAGGATCTCTAAGAGTTACCAACCGAGAAAAAGAGGGAAATGATACTTACAACACGCCAGCGGGCCCTTCTAAGCAAGGATGCCTCTTCTGCATCCGGGAAAAGTCAAATTGAGTTCCCAAATGGTTTACCCCCACAGCCGTCTCGAAGCGAGTATCTTTATTTCATTTTTCTGATTTTTTGTTCATTTCCTAGTTATTTACTAGTCATGTCTCGTCTTTGCCAATTACCTATGTTCCAGTGCAAAAGGAGAAATTGTCAGAAATCGAATAGCAATTGAAGAAAATTGTGGCCCCTTAGAAGTGTAGAATGCTAAATGAGAAAGCAGCCCAGTAATAAGAGGTTTGCCTTTTAATGTTGCTAAATTTTATTTTCATTTGTTTTATATAGCTTTTAAAACTTGTCAGAATGAGTATGGTACATTAAAAATATGCAAGCTTAAGCAATTATAAAGTAAACGGCCAAGATTCCAGTATGAAGAAATGAGGAGAAAGTGAAGAAGCAGCAGGAAGAGTTAGCAACGGCATTGATCTTTTACAATATTTAATGAGATGTGGGATTGAGATTTGTTTCTGATGTGTAATATCAACATTTTCCTGTAGGCTAAGATAAACATTGGCCTTTTTCTCTGTGTTGGCTTGCAGTTTGAAGTGTCAGAATCAAATTAATCAGCTATTGGATCGAGTTTCTCCGGCAACATCCACATTTTCAATGGTATGCTGCTTTCAAACTTTAAAGAAGAGTATCTCTGTTTCTGAACTCTGTTTTTTTACTTAGACTTGCACTATTTAGGTGCATTGCATGATATTTATATGATAATAGTTATTGTTGCACTAATGAAGTGAATGAGCGGTCACATTGTCGTTCTCTAAGACATTAGAGATAATGTTTGTTGGTTTTTTAATCTATTTTGTACTCAAAGAGATGACAAGATGAGCACAAATGTAGATGTTTTTCCTTCATTAGATTGTATTAAAGATGTAAAAGGATAAAGGAAAGGCTTTGTTACCTTCTGATTGTGGAGTTAATGAATATTATGCCCATGATCTTCACTGATTATCTAGATTTGCCCAGCCATGATCTCACCTAGCATTTGATAAAAATAGATTTAAAATACCACCAGACTGACTTTGGTTTCCAATCTAGCTAGTTCAAAGTTGTGCATTTTATTTGAATTTATGATTTTTATTACTTGTACAAATGTATTTTATTTGCATGTATGTGTAGTGTAATGAATATATTTCTTTTGAGTTGATTTGTGTGGAGCTTTATGATGTTGGAAATTTGTCTTGTTTGTGATTATAGATGGCACTGTAATGGTACATTTGATGTACGCAATAGAACTGGAGGTTGTTTTGGAACCATGAGGTTCCATACTGAGCTGGCTCATGGAGCCAACAATGGCATTGACATTGCTTTTAGGTTCTCGTAGCCCATTAGGGAGCAATTCTCTTTCCTTTATCTTACTGATTTCTATCAAGAAGTTTATTGATTCAGAATGTTTATATTACGTAATTTGTTTCGTTTGCTTTATTAAATATATATATTTTTTAAAGAAATTGGATTATTTTCATCCTCATCTTGCACATAGTTGGCTGCTGGTGTTGTTGAAGTTACTGGAGTACGTAAAATTCCAATCCATCTAGGAAGGCTGGTTAGTATTTTTTTTTCCCACTCAAGTGATGCATTTAACAATTTTATGTTTATAATCTGCATGTACAAATTGTGATATGCACATTTTTTTGAGTTATTATGTTGTCTATTCATTATTAAGAAGCCATGTTTTAGAATGTGGTATAGCTTGTGTGGTTGTAAAGAGTAAGACACAATTTATCCCTTTATGAATTTAAATGTCTATTCATTTTTTGCATTTGAACTTCGTCTTAAATTTGTAGTCACATACAACTTGTAAGAATTGAACCTAGATGTTTTGCATCATTATTTATGATATGAGATATTTGATATATTTTTCCTCTAAATAATATTTTATTACTTTTTATATGTTCGTCTTTGACTAAAGTTTTGGAGCTTGTCCTTTCAGGAATCCTCATTTAACCAAATAACAAATTGTGGTTGAGCTGAAAGTATATCTTGGAGTCAAGAAAGTTATTTGATTGTCCTGTGAATTTGTAGTTATTTATTCAGTCTTTGGATTTGATTTTCTTCTTTTTAGGTTTGATGAACTACACTAAGTAGTTCATTCATGAAATTGTTAGCATATATTTTATTGGTATTTGTTTTGGTTTTGGAGGTAACCAAGTTTGTAAATAATGCTTTGACCTATATTTATTTGATTGACAATTGAGTTTTTTTTCTATATTTTGAAATCATTTAAATTTTAATAATTGTACATTGAAGCATTTTTTTTCATAAATTCATGAGCTGTTTTTAGTAAAGTAGGTTACATTAACTTTATGTTGTGAAATAAATTTAATTACAAGCACAGCTTATTGCATAAATAAATACTATTGACAAAAATTAATTTATTCAATAATTTTATGTCGTAAAATGAAATACGTGACATGTAAATAATTATGAAATAAATTAGGCAACAATTATGCATCGCTGCACAAATGATGATGCGACAAACTCTGTGTTGTGAAATAATTTTAATTACAAGCATCACTTCTTACATATTAAATTGTACTTTAAATGTTGAATATATTTATATATATTATGCAACATATCAAAGGCGTTGTAAATTATATTTTGCGACAAATATGACATGTTATTAAAGACATATCACTACATGCATGTTTTGTTGCAAAATAGAATATGTAATAAAAAGTTATACTTTTAAAATAATATTCGCAACAAATATTTCTCTCGCAAAAACTTTACTACAATAATCGTTGCGACAAATGACTTGTCGCTCTTTTAATTTTTTGCGACAAATATGCGTTGCGACAATATTATGGTGACAAATATCCTGTTGCTATTTCGTACTTTTTGCCTCAAACTAATAGTGTTGCAAGTTTATTACCACGATGAATGATTAAGAGTTGTTGCAAAATACATTCCGTGACTTGTATAGTGCGACAATGCCGGCAACAAACATCTTGTGGTCGCTAAATTATTTTTGCAACAAAAGATCTATTTTTGCGACAACAATTTTTTATCGCAAAATCAATTATTTTTTGTAGTGTTCCTTTTCCTTCTTCTAATTTATAATAATAATATATTTTTCTTATTTTAATTTCCATGATCTCTATGGCCCTGATACCAATTAGGGGGCTACTTAGAGTGAATAAAAATCAAATAAATCTATAAACAATAAATCTATCAAGTAAAATTTAATTTTAAGGACTAAAATGCAAGATTTCTATATTATATTAGTTTGTTATGCAATATTCAAAAGGAGGGGTATTTTAGGTATATTTATATGATAAAATTGGTCAAAGGTCATTTTGAAAAAACGGCCTCTTTGTTTAGGCTATTTCCATGTATTTCCTGGGATAGCATGTTGAGAAAGATAGTCAAACTCAACCGATTTGTTAGTCATGATGATCCGCTGTGTCACGCAATGTGTTGTAGCTATGTTACATTTAAAAATAAAAAACATTAGCTGACTTGACTTGATAAGGTTTGAGCCGAATGTTCTGGTCGAGTCTCGATTTTTTGGCCGAACAAAAGCTCGACTCAGCTCTGACCAAAAAAAAAAAACCCCAAACCGTTTTTACTCAAGCCGAGCCAGAATCTCAAGTTTCGGTTGGTGAGTCGGCTCGACTTGACTCGCTGATATCCCAATATAAACTATCGTCACAAGGTACGAGAAAAGGACAAGAGTATGGCGAAATATTTTCCGTCGAGCTGTCTCTACATAAGGAGTAAAACGGTTGCACATTTTATTTTCTGTTGTACTAAACAAAGAGACAACTTATGTTTAGCCAAAATTCCGCTAAAATTTTCTCTATCATTTCTTTTTTTTCTTTTTCCCCTTTGCCTTTCTTCTCCGGGTTCTTTTTTCTATTCCTTCCCATGCCCTTTTACACATGCACTGTACTATTTGCAAATAGGAAACATGTTTATCTTTATTTATTTTTTCTCGAAAATTTACAAAAAATTTACAAAATATTTGGAATTTATACTAGTATCTACAAATTTATTATTATAAAAAATTAAACAGAACGAAATACCTTTTAATTAAAAATTACAAATCACACTTATATATTGATTTATTTAACACCTCACATACTATTTATTTAATTTTTTATTATTTTTTAAAATTTATTACTAAAGGCATATGATGTATTATTCAATGTTTTTTTTAGCATATCAAGTATTATTAAAAGTTTTTTTTTAAAACATTGGTTAGAAAATTTATTATCTTCTTTTCTTTAAACTACAACTTGAAAAAGGGGGAAAAATAGTCAATTAATAATATGTTGTAAAAAATAGGAAAAAAATCATTTAAATTTTATTATTAAATGGACTGATTGTTAGTTGTCATCATTTACTAAATAAGAGCATCTACAAAAGACTCTGTAAATACAAGATGCTCCATACTTTAGAGAATTAATACTTAAAATAAGCTCAAAAATATTTTATTTTACTTTTTCAAAATAGAGAGTCAAGCTCAACTATAATTTTAATTTATAATGATAGCAGTTAATAAGTTACAAATTCCAATACTCTACTTTCTATTAAAAAAAAAAAAGGTACTTTATGTTGTGAATGATTTTATAAACCCATAAACATATCAAGAAATCCAATTTACTTAAATATAAAAGTAAATTGACCACCATCATTTATGCTTGTGTAATTTATCATTCATCAAAGTTTTTCATATGAAACTTGTCATTTTTCAAGGATCGAATTTTGTTAGACATATTCATGCTAGACAAAGTGTTAAAGAAAGAATAATAAATTTAAAAACATATTGAAAAAGACTAAATAGACTGGAAGTCACCAATCATGCTTTCAACATTTTCAGTATTCTATCTCAATCTTCTTTTCTTTCTTTCTTTGCAGTTATAGCTATAATTAATTAAATCTACATTTGTTTTAGTTAATTATTTTCCTAGTAGGGAGGGATTTGTCATTATATGTCTACATTTTGTTTTCTTGGGATTATCTAATACTATATCCATTGTCATTGTATTTTAATTAAGCACATTAAAATGTAATAAATTAAATGATTTGGATATATCTTCTACTTGAATCAAATTATAAAGAAAAGAACACTAACTGAATGCATTTTGTGAGTCAAGTAATCCGAAGCCATTTTAATTTTTATTATAATTAAAGAAAATGCGAATAAAAATGAAATTTTAATCAATAAGAACTCTATGAAAACATATTCTTTTCACAAATCATTAAATAGTGCACTATGCACATGGGAAGAAAATGGTTCAATCAAGAGGTTAAAGATATGTCAATTCCAATAATAATTTCATTTGGTGCAAGTTCATTTCCATTAAATGTGCTTCCAATTAAATCTCCCAATGAACAAGTCACTCTTAGGGTTTCCTGTCAATCTTGACACTATATAGAAAGAAATAGAGTTAGGTCTAGTAAATAGATTGCACGAGAAGGTATTATGACAACTTTAATATTTATTGTACTTTAATGCTTGATGGATAAAAATGTGTGGATCACGCTTGAGGAAATTTGTTGATATTTTTGTACGGCGATGTGTATGTGGACCCACCTTAAATTCTTTTACAAAAGTCATTTATACATATATCATGTGTAGATTTTTTAATATTCAATTAAAGTTCTAGCGATACAAGTCCTTTTCAATTGTAAATTTTGATTGTCCCAAACTTTTTCTTAAAAAAAAAAAAAAAATTTAAATCTTTAAAGTTCTAATAAACTATATTTCCGTACTATAATTTGCTCATTTTGCATGGCTAAAACAAAAACTTGAATTCCATTTTAACGTCATGTACATCATAATTTTGATAGAAATTCAATAAAGTTAAGCGGTAACATCATTTTTATATCATATCTATAGCATTTTTAGACACATTTTCCCACCCAAAATTGTTAATTTTTACGCCCAAATCATTAGTATTGTACAAGTAACGACCATAAGCAAAATTCACCATAGGATTATCTAACATTATGTCCATTGTCAGTCACATTCCCAAATTTCAAGCTCAAAAAGGGTGAAATTGAATCTGAAATATGTAAGCATGTGTATTATGCAGCATCAACATTAATAAATAGAAAATATCAGCAACCCTACGAACTTATTACAATATATAGAATTTTTTTTAATACGTTTTACAAATCATAATCAACCTTCATGTTTCTATTTTTGAGTATAAACTATATCCCCAACAGCTTTTTGAGTCATATAACATCTAAAATAAGGCTGATATACCAAAAACACCATTGAGAATAAATTTTATAATTTTCTTCATTTAGTTATAGTTAATTTGCTCATAGTAAACTATAAGAATGTAAATTAATATGTACAGAGCTCCTTCGACATAGTTTATGTTGTGGTTTGACCCAAATTCCTGTGGGTATAGGAGTCATAATTGGAGTGGCC